CCTTCGCCGCCACAACCACCTCTGCTCCTTCCATCGCAGGTGCTACAGCCTCAACTTCACCTTCCTTATGGCTCATCACTTCTTCTTTTGCCTGTGTTACTTCTTCTTTTACCTTTTCTTTTCTTTCTTGTGCTCCTCCATCTATTTCCTCGTTTTCGCTGTGCTCTTGCGATATTTCTGGTAGCAATATTGTTATTGGCTTTTGCATTGTTAGCTCTTCATTGTCGTATTTCTGTTTTTCTACCGTATATTTTGCTTCCTTTTGGGGTGCGCTCACTTTTGCTTCTTGCATTTGTTCCTCTATTCTTAGGTCCTTCACTTCGTCGTCATTTTCATCTTTTAGTATGTTTTCATCCGCTTGTTTTAAATATTGTTTTTCTGTAGTACTTATCACTGTGTCGTTTTGCTGTTTTTCCTCATTTTCTTGCCTCTCGCTTATTTTATCATTGGTCTTTTTATCTTCCATTTTTTTTTCAGTTATTGTCGGAACTCGGTCCTGGCTAGCAACGCCGGCTCGGATAACAGGCTTACTGCCCTTTTGCATTGCTAATGACTCGTACATTTTCCCTTCCTCAGCTATTTTGGTTTAATTACCAATTAGGAATGATCATGCGATTTCGCAAGATATGGAATTGCGGGGAATGTGGGATAAAAGAAAGGAAAAATTATAAAAGAAATTTAGATATCAATTTTCTGCTGCACTCTTAGGGTGCAATTTTACACAATTTTAGCATTGGCAAATTCTTACATGCAAAAGTATGGGATTTTTACTTTATTTTTTTATTTTTTCCAAGCTTATAAATATTCATTTTTATTATCCTCCTTTCCTTATTTAATCAGTTATTCAAACACACCCCAGCTGATCAACTTGCCATATTATGTTCAAAAACTTATAAGCTGTTTAGTTTTAAATGTCTAGCCTGAGCTTGCATGCATCAAGCATCTTCATGCACCACCTTTTAAGTTATGGAACTAAGCTTGAGATGCAATACAATTTTAGTAAAGTAATACTCACACTCCACAACTCCTCTGTCTGCCTCATTGGGTAGGATTTTGTTTTCCGAAACCTCGTTTGTCACTTCACGCTCTGTGATTCGCTCAGTTATATGCTGAGTAGTAATTCGTTTCTTTACCAGTGTCCCGTCCGGCAAAGTTTCTTCAATTTCCTCCACCTTCAAATGAAAAGGCAGTCGTCGAATTTTGTCCCTGAGATATCATGCAAACGTTTCATTGTGGTAAGTGTAACGCGTGAATCAACATTTGCCTTTACATTTTTCGCATCCATGCTGATTTTGTTCACACACGCCTTAGTTACTTAAATAAGTGGCGGTGATCACCAAGCAGAGAGTTTATTGAATTTGTTCGCGTTCACTGAAGAGCCCACTTCGTTTGATACCTATTCACTACATAATAAAACCTCTTCAACCCAAGTTTATTTTTTTACTCAAAGTGCATCATGCTAACAAGAATCATAATTGAAAAAATATCTGATTCCTCACCTTGACAACTTCTTTTGGTGGTTCAATAATGCATTTGTTGCTGTCACTAGCACCAGCTGCGTTGAAGCTAGCTTCTTCCCAATCGTGCGCCGACAGGGTCTGGATAGTTTCGGCGGTCTGAACTCTTTGTTTGACAACTGTTCCGTCTGGCAGCAATTCCTCCGTCTCCTCTACGAGATAGCCCTCCTCTGGACGACCTTGGTGGACATCGTGACCAGCAAGACCTGTGGGAGACGGTGTTCCCTCGGCTGCAGCTGCTCTGTATACTGCTTCGAAATCCTCGTCAGCATTATCCAGTTGTTCCATCGATGGAACTCGCAATTCATCATCTGAAACTTGATTGCACACCTCACTTTTACTTGGTGGCAGTATTCGTTGGTAAAGTTCGAAGAAATTTTCAATGAGGCTTATTCCTGTGGTCAACCGATATAGCTATAGTGATTCTAGTAGGTAATGAATGGCTTTAGCTTGTCTGCAAACCCACCAGATTCAATGTGTAGGGCATCAATTGATCCAACGATGGGAGTTTCGACCTGGCTAGCCGCACCTGCTGCTCGAGACATTAATGGACTGAACTGTTGTTTCATTTTGCTCTTTACGGGCTCAATCATAGCCTCCGTAACCAAGAGATCTTCATGATCTAGACAAAGAGGTACATATTAAACATTTTGAAAGTGAACTTTTGTGATTAACGTAGAATCTCATCATTTTTTCTTTTGTTAGCATACACAAACGCGCAACAATCTTACAATGCCCTTAAACAATGCGTAGGATGAAAAAGTCGGCTTTTTGAAGCCTGCTTAACCTTGCTTTTTGAAATTTTATCATCTGTCAAGGCAGAAGTATGGTTATTCTCCTCAAACTCGCCTATTTTAACAGCATTGGCAAATTGATCTTAAGGATGAAGTATAGTTCCTAGAGTGGAGGAATTATCACATTCTAATTTCTTCTACACTTGACGCTATATTTTGGCAGAAACTGTACTAACTTAATTAGCGATAAAAGTATGACAATACCGGCAGACTGTGAGATAACTGATGTCATGCGAACATCGGAGTCAAGGCCTAGAGCCTCGACAAGTTCCTCAGCAGCTATTTGTCGGGCCACTGAGTCAGCGTGGACGATCACTTCCTCAGGAGGCAGGAGATTCTTCCGAGCAAGATTCTCCGAGGCCACAATGGACTCATCCGAAACCGGCTTTATTTCATCGGTTGGCAATTCAAAGTCATCCTTCGATGGAAGCATTGACACGGCCATCACTGGCGGCCTCTCAAGACTCGCGCTTTTGATAGAGGTCACAATGTAAGGTACTTCCTCAATGGGCACCGTTCGAGCTGCAGTAAAGATATCGAAAGTAGATGAAATTGGGATTCTCAGAGACCCGAAGCTACCAGGTGTAGTAGAATACCACAGTTTCCTTTTGCATTAATAAAAGGCAATGGTATTTCGCGTCTGGTAAACTGTTAATACGGAGGGTTAGCTTAGAAATGAACTCACGAGTTCCATCAACAGTAGTCGGGGGCGGAGTCTGGTCCATCGTAGGTTGAATTGTGGATTCCATTCCTGCGTAAACAAAAACGACTGCATGGACCTTCGCCATATGTTTTGATCTAAGCTGGTAATTTGTGTACCGTGCAGGTTTAGCAATATTGCATAAAATTGGCTTCAAAGATTAAAGTCAAGAAATCTAACGATTTACAACAGGATTGAAATATTGAATGTTATGCGATTCTAAAAGTGATACAAACGTTAAATGTTTATGCCATCCTAAAATTCTTTACCTTTTAGAATGTCTCGATGAACTTTGATTATAATATGCATAGAGATGCAACTTCAAGACTTAATTGCCTGAATCACCCATAGTGCAATAATTACTTTTACTCATAATGGACATCGATCCTAGATTCTAGTTCAATCATTTTAAATAAAAACCTTGGAAATAGGATATTATGGCCCTATTAGTAAATCTATCTCAATAGCTCATAGCCGAATTGATAAACAGCCTACCGGGATATGCAACAGCTCCATCAATTGCGCTAGCGGCAGTGACGACGTGATCGGAGACGGCGAACGGCAGTGATGGAGGTGTGTGCTGGGGAACGGAGGCACTAATTATTTGAACTGGATGCATTAAGGAGGGTGTCTTGGAAGAGGTCATCCCTTCGTCTATGTGGTGCACGCGCGACGCGATCGGCTGGACGTCGAACTCTACCACCGTATCGATCCCGTGGATATTCAGCCTCTCCAGTGCCTCTCTCATACAAGAAGCTAAAATTAAAACCAAGGAAGAATAAACTTAAATTTCGTTACCATCGCTAACTTCACCTAAAGGAAGTAAGGGAAGTCCTCGAGTGCGAATAGACGGCCTTGTCATTAACATTAACTATTAACTGAAGGCATCGCTAGCAATATTAGCTTCCAATTGTCATAATCAGTGATGCGTTTTTCATCACTGTCAAGAATATGAGGTAATAAATCGTTGAGTGGTTCATCAATAAGCACTCAAGCTACCTCAAGACAATACTCCTTACCACTAACCCAAACCTACCCTATGAGATAGGCAAGATCAATCAACATTTTACGAGGGCTAATGGGATCATAACACTGAACACCAAACACACATTTAACTGCAGGCATTTGCGAGACAACACAGCTAAAAGTCATTGCGGTAAAGCGCATCAAAAACTGCACAAACATTCAGATTCGATTTAACTGCCTACCGAGCCATTGGTTTTCAACGGCATCACCAGGCACGCGGATTATAAGAAGAGTAATAGGCTGTTCTCCGTCAGTGCCTGTCCGGGGCAACACAATTTAATTCATTGCGGTAAAGCGCACCGAAAACTGCACAAATATCCGCGCCTTTATTCTCTGACAAATGTTTTTATTGTTTCATCAACCTAACACATCCTAGAACTGAAATTACTAAAACCTTGTCATCAGACTTTTCGAGCAACAAGTTGCTTTGACTTTGAAAGATCGAAAACTTGAACATGTCAAAGTATTGCAGTAAAATCTGACGGCTCCTTTCGAGCTTATGCAACTCGCTAAAGCTGTGTACAATTCTCAAAAGTGGTGAACAAGCACGTGCTTACTTCTTTCTGGTTGGCTGAGTCAACCACCAGATATGCCACCAGCTAGCTCTCACTCGAGCTAATCGCCAAAGAAGTCCGCCCAAAAATACAGACCTGCTTAGGTGGTTTGTCTGAGTGATCCAGACTCACTGGTGGCAAACGGATTTGCCCACCCCATACCAACCCATTAGCTGTGGCAACTGGTCTCACAAAGACAGTAGTTCAGCTTACAACGGGTAGTTAAGAGGTACTTAGCCGTTTTCCCAGCTGCTAAAGGAGGTGATTAAAGAAAATTGATAGCTAATAAGACGTGGGTAAAGATGAATGGTGAGATGCTTGTCTCGCGTCTCTGAGTTGAGCTTAGGTAGCTGCATTGTTGGAAACTCACCCAAATTCTCTGGAGGAGGCGTGCCCGTAGCGGCAGAGCGCTGCATCCAGAGTCCAAGCATGTGCTGACAGCGCTCACAATCTGCATCTGGACCGGTCTGTGCTCCCGCCAGCAATTCCTGCTCTACCATTTTGATGTCATCCGGCGAGAGACCCAATTCCTTCGCCAACTGTGGCCATCGTGCACCCGTATGCACAGCGATTTCCCATATGTTCAAATCAGGGCTCATCGCCTTCATAGACAGCTCTTCCGAAGCTAAAGTGCCTAAATTGAATCAGTAACATAAACATGAGTCATGGTAGTTTGTAATCAGGGCAAGACAGCCAGAAAAATATTCATATTTGCGTGTTTCGTAATGGATAATACGCAGATTTTGCTTAAACTGCTTACCGAGCCATTGGTCTTCAAGAGCATCACCAGGCATGCGGATTTCAAGAACAGTAATAGGTTGTTCTCCGTCAGTGCCTGTCCCGGTACCCCCAGCCTCCCCTGGCTCGCGGTAGACCCGAAAGTGGCCAATCGGGGGTGTCTTTGTACCCGCGGGCTGACGAACCCGAACCGGATAGGTCAAACGGTTCTCCTGGAAGGCCTGAACGTCCAAACATAGCTGACCTGCATGTGCTGGGTATGAGAAGATGTCTCCTACTGTCTCCAGCCAGTAAATTTTTGAATCTGTTACCTAAAAAGCAGAAAGTTTCAACTTTTTTCATTACGAATAGTAGAGGATGCGAACTGGCCAGTACGGCCAAGAATAAATGCATTACGGCCTTTTATAGTTCACACTGGTTAGTAAAGATATTGTCCAATGGTGAATCTGGAGACATACTTCAGTTGGAGGCCCAACAGCAACGAGTTGAAATTTCTCCTGCTGTTCCAACGTTTTTTCAGGCAAGTCATCAATAAGGCAAACGCAGCGGAGCTCTGCGTCCGCAGGATGGAAGACTTTTCGTCGAAAGCGCGAACTCGATAAAGTGGTTGCCGAGATGGTATCGGCCGAAGCTGCTGATGGGATAGCAGTAGCTGCTGCTTCGTTAGCTTCAATTGCTTGGCGATCTTTGGGTAGTCGGGCGTAGACAGCAAACCTTCCTATATAAGGGGGAAGTATGCTCTCTTGATAGACTCGGCTGGCCACCTGCGCCACATTCTCAACACCTTGTGCGTCCACGAGCCACAGTCTAGAAGGAAATACGAAATTCAATTAGATTATGTTAAGCTTACTTATGGTTAAGAGCTCTTCTAAACTTTATACCTGTAAAAAGTGGAGATGGACAGAATAACTAACCTGGCAGAAACAGTAGTAGTAAAAGAGATGCAGTCCTTATGGCGAGTCATTGTGGTGGAGCCCGTTATGTCTTCCCAGGTGGCCGGTGCGCAGCCCGCGGTGATGGAGCAAAGCAGATGAAGGCTTGGTGGGAGAGGATCTGATTTATGTACTGCCTTAAGCGATTGCCGTGGCAATGGGATGGTTACTGTTATTGGCTTGTGGAACTTGCGCCGTCGCGGTTCCAATGTGACCACTGGCGAGAAGGTGGCTCTGTTACCCACCATTTTCTTCACTACATAAGGCTGTATCACTTGGACCTAAATAGATTGTTAACTTCGGTTCTAAGTAGAGCACTGAAAAAAGCAATTCTGAGTTAACGACACTAATTTTTTTCAAACAATTGCATGTCGAATCCTGTGGTTATGTCAGAAATTAATAATTTTAAAATCCCGGTTTGGTTGTGAATTTCATACATCACAAAATTTTATGAAGAAAATTAAAGTCAAAACCATAATTTTACCCAAAGTTACCGTAAAAATTATCATTAATAGGGCAAATCAATTCGAAAGCAATGCTAAACTTAACAAAACAACACGGACACCTCCATGTAGCTTGGGTCAAATACCCAGCTCTAAGTCTTTTGGTGAGAAAATATGGGGTTGACAGCCATAAATACAAAAGCGAAAGTAGAGACTTGCCTGTAGACCAACTTTGATGCGCTTTTGCAAGGCGCCCTTGGGAAAGACGGTCTGCACCTTCGAAGAGACCGTAGATGTCAGCACGCCTCCGTCTGGGCCGATTAGAGCGATTTCCTGGCGGAAACGCGAGATAAGAGCGAAGAAACGTGGCACATCCACCATCAGAATGCGCTGAATCCTGCGCTCCCGGATCGATGTTAACGGCTCAATTTGACCTAAACACCATCGTTCATTAGTTAACTTGAACCATTTATAAACTGACAATATATTATTGAAGTAAACATTGCGGTTTTCTAAAGATGGATAAAAGTAATCAGCAACAACAAAGGCACATTCGGTCTGAGCGCATTTGCAAGAACCTACCAAATGCAGTCCCTAATGCATCTTGCACTGACTGATCGGTGGCTTCAAGGGAATGGGCCTTCCACGAATCCCCATGATCACACCTCAGTGTAACGACTTCTCGGTCACGGCCCTGGATGGAAGCAAAATGCGGGACCTCGAGAAGGATGGGACCGTCGAAACGTACACTGCTGGGTGACATTTCAATTATTCTAAAAGGAAAGAGTATGTATTGCTTCACAAAACATCGATGATAGAGTAAAACAGGGAACCCTTGTTTGGATCTCTGTTTGCTTGCCTGCACGCGAACGCATCGCCGTCGTTCAGATGAGGAAGCCGAGATACCCGATCTGGTCGCAGTAGTCGACAAATTATTCGCGTTGGACTGGAAATAGCGTAGGGTGGAATTAGGAATCGAAGGTCTGGACGACGCTTGGCCTCTACAAACCCCCCACGCGCGTCCACAAGGAAAGAGACGAGGAATCTGAAGGGAAATGGGAATTGATTAAATGAAGTTGAAAGCGCTTCACATAATCATATTTCATAGTTAAAAAGATTATGAGTAATCTCGACCAACTGTGATTATTTTTCAGTGACAACTAAAAAAGAGTAGAAACGTACCCAGCCTTCACTGGTTTGCAAATGGCCTGAATCGGCTCAGCCTCAAAAGTCTCCCATTCACTGGAGCCGCGAGGTGTCATGCCCGACACCTCAATGTCCGACTTCCGCATAGACAACGTTGATGTGGCCTTAAGCGGATTAGAGGCATCACACTGAGGGTATTTACAAGATGCAGTGAACAATGGTCTTTCATCAATGAAAAATCCCCGATAGAAAATGCTTTATGTGATCCGTTAATCAACTCACCATTAACTCAGAGGCACGAGTCGGCTCCTCTATTGTGCTGTCAAGAGCACTGATTCGAATTTTTGGTTCACCTTAAAACATTCAAAAGACATATTTTGCATGAAGGCAGTTGAGATTGTGCGTTAGTGAAAACAATCATCCGAAAGATGATTTGGTCGCATTTGAACTTGTAGACTTTATTTGACCCGTTTTTAGTTCGTCATCGTTTTAATTAAAAGCATGAGGGCCTATCATCGGTGCTTCTTTAGCATACCATGCATTTAATTTCATTCTGGTATTCCTTAACCCCATCTCATGTTCCAGTAAATAACACAATAGTCTCAAAGTTGTCATTAGATCGGGAAGTTATTTAAATTCCAGCGAAAATATTAGTTTTGCCTTCGCAGAGAGTGGAGGCGTCTCTGTAAAGTGCTCAAGAAGTACCTGAATTTTGTCCTAACTGGAAAAAATTAATTCCACAACAAATTGGAATCACAACAGCCAATTTACTTGTGTCGTTACTCAAACCTCCTGGATGTGTTATCCTTTTAACTGACGAAGGTGTGGCAGGCAGTTTCGTGTCGTCAATGGGAACTAAGAGAGGGAAAAATTCAAATGCTAAATTAAGGAGAATGCGAAGATGTACCTTTATGCGCACGTGTATACTCCATTTGTTCGCAGAGCAGATTGTATGAAGATGATTTGAAGAGAGAGAGTTCACCATCAGACGCTACAACAAGCATCGATGACCACAACAGTCAAAAAAAGTTGCGCTTTTCTTTGAAAATGCGTGTCCCAACTTTACCTTTCCTTTGGCCTCGATGCTGACGACGGATGATGACAGGAGTAGAGACAAGTTGATCGCCTGCATGCATGACAACAATGAGACCCATATAGAAGCTGACAACACAGAAACAGCAGAAAACCAAATTTGGAAAAGGTGGTTTTTAATGAACTTGAGCAATTTTGCTCACGATCAAGTTACACAGATTTTTTTCCATTTTCACGGAAGGCTAAATGTACTCAAATATGACCCAGTGCTCAGAAGGGATGGAGCCGTCGTAGATCGCTGATAGACTCAATCGGCACGGTTTAGAAATTCGAGAACAGTCACCAATAAAGCACAAATTTTCTTATGGATAAATAATTCGATAAGTTAAAAGTATTGAGGCCAACAAGTTTTAGGTACGCATAGGAGAGATGACCATTGAATGGAAAGTGCCATTTAAAAGCTATCACCATTGTAACTCCTGAAAGCCCAGTCTGGACATTATGCAATAACAAATTGACATAAAACATGAATACGGGACGATGACAAAGCACCGACTCTTTTACGAGTGTCACGTGGAGCAATTCCATTCGCAACACAAATGTCAGTTAAGGAAAAATCGACAGCGAAAAGTTGCGAACCCCCAAACCGACAACTTGGTCTGTCATAAGGGAGTAGTGGACAGAAGACAGAAAAGAGACTGGAGATGGGATTATTAAAGCAGGATATAAGTGCTCACTTTCATCCTCACTCTCCACCGCTGTAACACGATCAAGCATCTGGGTAGGCGAGTCAAGTACCATTGAGCCGTCGACGAGGGCTGGGTCGCCCTGCGAGAGACCATCTGCACTAGCACCTTCAAGACTAGGTGTGTCCCAGTCTGATACCGTGGTGGTCACCCTCGAGAGATTTTCAAAGATGCTTGGATAATGCTGCCGCTTTGCCACCTGCGCTGCCGTCCAGCCTTGCTGTAAACCATTAAGCGAAATGCATTGTCTTAACAGCAGTTATGCCAGCGAAGAGGAAGGGACCCTCCCGCTTCATTTAATGCTTGCTGTATTGATGCAACTAAGGCCTAAACCTAGTGGTGAACAAGTGTATTTATCTCATGCAGTTCAACACCCGCCAATTAAGAGTGCATTTTTACATTTTTGACATCAGGCTCACGACAGGCAACGCAAAGTGCCACCATCTCACCGAACTTCGACAAAACAAAGGCAAGGTTAAATGTCTTTACATATTCCCGTAACTTAATGAACGTTCAAAAAACCCCCACAGACTGAAAATCAGCATAACTTAACATTTTTTTCAAAATTCGTGATGATGAGGATGATGGTAACGCGCCAATAAAGGATGGAGGAAAAGGGAAAGCTCTTTCATCGAATTAATTTATATCATAAGATATTAATTCAATGGCATAGCTTTCCTCACTCAAACGCCTTTGATAAGTGGGGATTTTTTAACTAGATCTCGACATATTTGTCGAATGCCTTCAAAAATGTCATGCTTTCTCATGGAAGTATTGCAAAAAAGAGTGTCATGCGAGAACTTACCATATTTCTACTTTTTGGATCAGCGCCTGCATTCAGAAGTAAGTCAACTATTTGTGAGTGGCCTTGTTGAGCGGCCAAGTGGAGGGGCGTGCAGCCCATAATCGTGCGACTGTTGATTGCACCCTCTTTCCCCGGATGGGCGAGCAGCAGCTTAGTCACAGGTGCGCTTCCCCTGTAAGCAGCCTCGTGCAGAGCTGTGTAGCCATTTCTCGTCTGCATATTTTGATCAGCTCCATGAATCAGCAGGAATTCTGCAACGTCAACACGTCCTGCCTGCGTCGCCAGGTGCAGCGGCGTCAAACCGTCCTACCAATGAAGTGAAATTAAAAGGTTGTACTAACGTGTTTGAGTAGCGGTATTATAGAGCAGAAACGAGTAACCCACGATGGCAGAGCAGTTGACTTGAGCGGAGTAACCGTCTACCAGGGTCTGAACAACTGCAAATTCGCCTTCCAGAGCGGCAAGGTGTAGGGGTGAATAGCCGTTTTGGGACACACAGTCGGTCGGAGCATTGGCCTTGAGCAAGAGAGTAGCAAGTTCCGGAATCTTCGATTTAGCGGCTAGGTGGAGTGGTGTAAATCCGTTTTTGCACTTGGCCATCACTTCCGCACCATGAAATAGTAAATATTCAACTGCCTAAAGGAGATGATTGGGTCAGTTAGGCATTGCAGTAAATTACTAACGCCCCACAACCATAGTAAATGAGAAGATCAGTCCAAAGCATTGGGAAATTTTCAGGGAAATGAAAATGTCTAAAAGTACAGTTTACGAAAATGGAATTTTCGCATTTTATTTCATAATGATGGTAAAAGAATAAACATAACATCAAGCGTCCAAATGGATCGGTTTAGTTTCCGTGAAAAGTACCGAGTTAATCGAAAAGAATTGCTGTAGTGAAATTGAGGTGATAGACACCGGACATGAGAACATACAGCCTAATTCTGTACCATGATCGAATGAGCCTACGAATTGTTACTACTCGAAAATGTTGAATTGAGTGATCCAAAAATTATGCAGTGATAAAGTTTCATGTGCAAAAGTCGCAGCTGAGTAGATAAGGTGCCGTGTCATGTGGGTTTAAATGAACCAAGCTGAAATTATGCCCACCTGTGGATACTCGTAGTAGATGCCAACATGCAAAGGTGTGAGTCCGTTCTTTGCTGCGGCATTAACGTCTGCTTTAGCCTCATCTACGAGATATCGCATTGCATCAACATTTCCGTATTTGGTGGCGATGTGGAGAGGTGTGTAGCCTCGCTAAAGTTGGGGAAATAGTCACAGTTAAAACAATGTCATTTTTGGAGCCAACTGAAATACAGTGAGTAAGTTTTTCAAGAGTAAGAGTGAAAGGTGTATAAAGGACGAGTTTCTTGGTTGTAACCTGCTATCACGCCTTTAAAATAGACATAGAGGATTGTTCGAATTTCCAAATACCCAAACGAATAATATGAACTATCTAAGTACGATTGACATAATGCTGATTGAGACTTCAATTATAGGATCAACAAATGTTCGTTGTACGACACAAAGCCTTGAAGAGCAACAGCATCGGTAAAGTGTCCCCGGGTGCTCTCCGAATCCACCAGATTTAAAATCTAATGTCAATAAAGACCTTTGTACGAGCGGTACTTTAGAGTCTCTAACACAGCGTATTTTGTTAAGCTGATTGCAAAAAAAGCATTGCAAACTACAGCACCTCAAATAAGGACGCATTTTATCTACACCTCCATAGCTATGCAGTGGATGTCATGCAGAGTGTACTGAAGAGTCCCACCTCACTGTTTTGGCTGAAACTAAGCCCGAGGGAGCACCTGTAGAAATCTTTTAGCAATTATATTCTATGCTCTTTTACCTCCTAACCGCCATTCATTTTTCAGAATCCCGTCATTATACTTTATCCACCCTTCTTTGGTATAAAATTACAAGTAACGCTTAGCAATCCCGGCATTGAGTCCAACCAACTTTTATGTAGGATTGTACTCGACTGTAGCACTCACCATCTTCTACTTGTTCCCTTTTCCTAGACCCCCATTCATCAATGCTTTGACTAACGTCAACCCACTCGCCCTCAGTTGTGATTAATGTAGCTGAAAATGACGATTCATTCATTCGTATTTGTTGTTTGGCATTCTGAAGTACTATATTCATGCGTCAATGCAACGTATTCAAATAAGCTAAAGGCCTTTCTAAGGAGCTGACACATGAAGTCCGGTGGCAACGCACTTGCGGACTTGTATGTAGGTGAAATAAGAATTTCATTGAAAGATTATTCGTATTCCCTCTACTGCGCACGCGTTAACCGCTCACTTGCAACAACGGGTTGGTGTATGAGTGCTTATACTGGCTCAGCATAAGACAGAGAGCAAGATCCAGCCTTGAAGATAGAGATATCATGCGTGTCCAACACACATTGCCTGATATCTTTCAGTCCAAACATGAAAATCGCCACAACTTATTCGCTACCTAATGTAGGTTTTCAGTACATTCAATTTTCGTCAATGGAATGTGAACGTAAACACGATTTTGCTACTCTGCAAAGCATTGAAGAAATAGCAATGAGGTAGCGAGGAATAATAATATATACAAGGAATATGGCTTATATGGATTTTCGTGTTGTAAGTGTGTCAAACCTGACATATTACAATTATTCATTTACTTTTGCTAAAATGACTCAAATGGTTCAATGGTTCAAAAGCATGGAAATTAGGCGGATGAAAAAAAACATCGATGACACTTCCACAAACTTCCCAATCATTGGCATGCGCATGTTCAATGCAGCTTTTGTTTTTACTTATAGTATCGCATACAACTGTAAGCCTTTTATCCTGCGATTTGAACATGAGGACTTTGTTTCCCTTTGCAATGCCTCACTGAGTGGTATGAATTCCAAACTCTGCAGTAATTCCTTTATTGGGGCAACCTATGTGCTAAAAAGCATCTACCTTGGTACTAGCGTTCACTTGAGCGCCCTTTTCCAAGAGAAGGCGAATTATTTCGATGTCGCCGACCTTTGAAGCTAGATGGATGGGCTGGTGCTTTCCACGTGACTCTGATCTCACATCTGCTCCGGCTTCGATCAGCAACTTCACAATTTCTGCATCTTTCAACCGGAGGGCTATGTGCAGAGGTGTTGCTTTTTCCTATCAATTACGAAGAAGAAGGATTAGTCAAGATCAGCATCAGAAGAAGCACAATTTTCATAGGCAGTGACCACAATGTACTCTTCTGCGTCTCTAACATGGGTATACTCAATCGAATCCAGTTCCGCAAATATCCAAATTTAGAGGATTCAATGCATAATTTGTCTCTTGCAAAACCAAAAGCACTTTCAATTAATGGATAGTCCGAATCTAGGGTACCAAGGTGTATATATACCCGTTTCACTTGCCACCATTTGGCAAAGTTAGCTTGGTCATCTCAACCACAAAAAATCCACCTTATCTAAGAGGTTTATAGCATAAGTTGCATCGCTCGCACAATAACTACGCCGTAGGCATCTACACTTTGGCCCAATCTGATACCGATGGTCTAAAATCCACCATACCGACAGTTGTTAAGTTAAAAATTAGCAGTTATGATTGGACTTCCCACCACTTGAAGGTAAAGGAGGTGCGTGCCCTGTTTGACCCCAAAGGTATGCTTGCCTACTGTAAAGTCTGTAAAACCCCATTGTAGGATTCGTAGTGAGTAATTCACTTCATCATACTGTAGCGTCCCCTTGGCCGGTATGAGAAGTCAGTAAGTGCAGCTGAATACATGTATTCGGAAGACGACAGGGCAAATTGACCAGAGCATAGCCCGAAGGCCAGCCCACTGTACAAGGGCCAGACAAATCCTAAAGTGACCGCCAAACGTCGGGTAGCCACACAAACAAAGCATTACACATACCACCAAGTGTCTGCTCCCGGAGGCCTTATCTAGTATTGGTTGAAAAAAGCTGCAGAAAAATGCTTTGGTTACGCACTGGCAGTGATTTAGTTGGACGGTGAAATATTCTCCCGTTTTACCCAAACTCCACTAATCCACCTCGTAAAATTTAGCCTAACAAGACAAGCTTATTTAACAAGCCGACACAATTGAGGTTTTGGAGACCAATTCAGGGTCCTAAAGTGGTTTAACCTTGGTTTAGAGTAACCCATCACCTACATTTGAATTATTTAAACACAAAGCAATCAAGTTCCATGCAAAGCTTCCTTTTAAAACGTAAATAGATTATTTAAATATTTTTAAGAAGCCTCTTGTGTTATTGCACAGAATAATGTGGAGTAATTCCCCAGCGAACAATCTTACTTTAATCAGGCCTGTATAAACACCACAGTGAATCCTATAGACAACCATAACCTGCCCTCGCTCGCAAACCAATTAAAAGTCATTGCTTTGTAATTGCTAGCTTCAAAGAACGCAGCAAAGTCGGTGCATTGTGTTCTAGAATCTTCGAGATGAAACAATAACCTGACGCAAACCGACAAACTTTGGTTTAATCTTTAGTGTTATTTGCTTGTGATACTCCCATTTCAGTGGCATAGCAGTTCTATCAAAGCGGGGCATGTTAGCTTCGGCTAGTGCAGGAATGGCTTCAGTAAATTTTGTTCATATTCCTCCATAAAAAAGTGATTTCCGATTCAAATGGAAAATAAAAAAGTTTGGTCCACTCTCACCTTGGCTTTGGCATTCACGGAGGCTGAATGTTTGAGTAGCAATTTGATGGTATCTATATGACGCCCACGAACTGCGAAGTGAATAGGCGTTTCACCGCGCATTGTCACTTGATTCACATTGGCACCGCGTTGCAAAAGTAGGGCCGCCGCCTCCGGACAGCCAACAAAAGCCGCCGCATGTAAGGGGGTCAAACCAGCCTAGATGGAAGGGAAAAGGTTAGTCTCAGCAGCTGATACTTAATGTAATTATTACCACTGCTAGTCTTCACTGTTGCTTCATTCCATCAGGAAGAGGATATTCAACTTGATTTTACCGGAATGATTGGCCTTCAGCTTACTCAATAAATTTCTTTCACTTTCGTCTGCATGACACTTGTTCTAGCTTCTTAGAGGATCCGACTTTGGCTTTGAAGTAGCAAAGTAAGCTTAAGCTTTAATACCTTCGCAAACTGTTAACCTTCTCGTTTATAACAGTTTTGGTCGATCACAATAAATTGAGAATTAAATATGAGCAAAGCTCAAACATACGTGTGAGTGATACATTAAGCCTATTACATCGGTAATGACCCAACAGGCAACGATGTTGGAAGTGCATCACTGTAAACTTATTTATGCTGCATTTCGGCGAAAGGGAGGAAGAGGTGGCAAGAGATTACCTGAGTGGTAGCATCGACGGTGGCGCCTTTTTTGAGAAGTAGTTCTACAATCTTTATCTTCATCTTTTTACAGGCAACGTGAAGAGGAGTAAAACCATTCTAAAACGCAAAACATTTGTATTTACTTCCCTATGTGCACCTGTGTTAACAAATTGTCTTCACATCACAATGCAATTGAGCACAAATTATCCTGAAACGCACTTATGAGTTAGCGGGTGAACCTCTTCACTGGGGCAAAAAATAAACAAAGCAAAGCTTTTAATGCACACTTTGCATTGGTGCACTCTTCAACTAAGAGCCAACATTTTGTTTACTGATCGGTTTCCTCGATTAATGACCAAACAAAGGGCCTACTTCGGCAAAGGAAGCCTCAACATAAGGGTTGATAGTGGACTTACAAATGCGCGAAGGTTTGGATCACAGCGGTGATCCAGAAGTACTTGTGCCACCTTTATGTTACCGCAGTGAGCAGCGATGTGAAGGGGTGTCAGGTAGTCCTGAAAATGCATTGTAAGGGGCAAATAAGTGGCAGTAATGAGCTTGAGTTGTGCTGTCAGCTTAAACAGGAAAGCAGCTTTGTCTGAAAAAGCATTGACTTTATGTCTGCAAGCGAGAAATGAAATGCATCTCCCTGCAAGTTAACAATAGTGAACTCTATCTTCTAGGACCCAAAGTATTGCCCTATCGTGCTTGTATGTCTGCCTGGCATTCAGATAAGTTCTGCTATAACAATGGGTTGCATCGAAATCGTAGCTTTTGTCAGTGCTTTGGTAAAAAAGCAACGAATTTTACCATTAAAAGGTTTTGGAAAATCAACAATTCATAATAAAATAAGCAGTAAATATCGACATTGATACGAAAGTTGGACAGCTTAAGGGTAGGTCCTTGTTTTATATGCATGTTCGCAGGCAATTTGAAGAGATTTGTTAGTTGACAATTGTTCTTGACTAAGTCTACCTGTAGAGTTGGTATGCCTTAAAGCTCCGCTTTGTCAAGCAGACAAGAATTGTCGCTCATCGTAGCGATCCCCTCAAAACACTGTGCATAAAATTTAGAATTCAAATATTGAGTGCTGGTTTCCTCACTGCATGAATCTACAAGAAGCTTCCATCTTTGCCTGCAAGGTTTTGCAGTAACGCACCATTGTTACATCATCTGGTGGTGATCCCTTTTTCAAAAGTAGTCTGGCTGTGTCCGCGTGATCACTTTGGGCGGCCATATGAAGTGGAGAAAGACCATTCTAAAAGGCACAACAGCAGTGCGTCTGTGACAATCTTACCTGAAAGGCAATCCTATGGTTGCCAATTTGAGCTTATAGAATACGCTGGCCGGAATAATATGCAGGCTCGTCGGACTACTTAATGCGAGATCCAAGTCGTCGGAATTACTGGCATTTAAAAAGCCCAGATTGCTAGCTTATAATCGTTAGTTTTCCGCTTTGTCATTCGATCGATATTATCACAAAATAAACCCATTGCCTTTTATTTTATTTTATCAGTTTTTATTTTATTTCGTTTGTTTTACTTCATTTGCACTAGATTTACGGAACGTTGTGGCGGGGAACTCATAAATGCATCGAGACCAGCCAGTGAGCTGGATACCAAGGCGAGCTGGAGGGAATCAAATAGGTCAAGCATATTCACCTCCTCAGACTTTCATTTGCATTTCGGAGTACGGGGCATTCAAAAAGTATTAACACTAGACTTGTGAAATAACCAATAACTATAACGAGGGGAATAATAAAAGATCCCTTAAGAGTCGTAAATGAGTTGAGTTGTATGCAGCTCTAGTAGTGACATCTGACAGTCAGATCGCTTTCGCACAAAAGCACAGACGACAGTAGATGTTTAGTGTGAGCCACTCCCACTTGGCCTTCCGGCGATGTTTACTCAACAAATGGAAGAATGGCGATTATATTGTTGCATAAAACCTATCAGATGACCAACTTCTTGCTGCTGCATCATTCGTATAGACTCAAATGGGGGTTCGGACTACACTTTCAAGAGTACAAAGACCCCTAAAATTCTGCGTAATTATCAAGTTATGCTCGTAAACAATAAAGTAAAATAAAATAACTTGGTAAAAGTAAGAGCAGAGGAAGCTTTAAATTTGGTTTCTAACCCTTGTCTTGGCAGTGATGCTGGCTCCAGCGTTGAGGAGGACCTGTACTACGTTGGTGTGGCCGGAGCGTGCCGCCGTGTGCATTGGAGTGAGACCGTCCCGCGTCCTCGCGTCCAACTGAGCTCCTCTGTCGATCAGCAGCTGGGTCATCTCTGCCTTACCCCATTTAGCCGCAAGGTGAAGAGGTGTTATACTGTCCTAGAGAAGGCGACAATATTCTTTGAGTTACTGTACCATGCCTTACTGGTACGCTATTAAACGATGATAATTTCCATAGCCATGCCTTCGACTTTAATCTTGCCTCAGCCCCATGCCTTACTTTGGACACCATAAATATACAAAGAACTGAAAATATCTTGAGCACAGTTTATATGTTTGCGGAAAACTAAAAATAGGTAGTTTGATGTTTCCCTGAAAATAAGCCACCGGTCACAAGCGATTTGAATGGTGCGGTGATTTTTACCACTACTAGGCCGAATCAAGTTTGTAAGTATGAGAAGCTCTAAAGTGTGCGATGCTTAGCATAAAATAGCTTAGACGGATTGGCAAACATGAAAAACCCTCTGACACGATTATTGAGATGTCTAAGCAAATAACGCCAATTAAGCTAAGCTATTCTAAGTGTGAACTCTTACTACTGTGGCTGGGCGTAGGTAACCTTTTAAACAGCTCTACTTTGGCATTCTAGACAGAATTCAAATCCTATTCGCTTTCCATTGAGTGTTTCGCTTCTTAAAGTCCTCTTTGTAAAGCGGAAGCCAATCACTGGTGCAGTTGCTGGCAAATAATTTAATCGCCAACGCTCCCCTCAAAAACAAGCACTAAAAGTTTAGTGGACGATACAACTGAAGAATATCGAGTAGCGGAATACGACATACTTTGGCACAGTAGTTGACGTCGGCTCCGTTGTTTATCAATAGGCGGGCGACCTTCAAATTCCCGTACCGAGCTGCGATGTGCAAAGGTGTAAAACCGCGCTAAAGTAGAAAAGAGACAAACGGTTCAGCAGAGTTCATATCCGTTTAATTTATTTTGAGCTCAATTGTCTATCACATTGCAAGTGATTGCGCTATAAAGGGTAACCTTGCCACAAAGAATCTCGTAGTGCTCATCAATTTGCAAGAGAGTGTAAATTAAATCGTCCACTGAAAATTCGCACTATTATGCGCAGATATTGGCTGTCTTCTCAAGTAACATGCCGAACTTTTAAGAGTAAGCAATGGTTGTTACCTAAAGCATAAGCTGCAGTGAGTCTAACACATACTAAACACCCAATTTCGACTTACGTCTCAGGGGATTTCCCGATTATTTTCGTCCCCCATAGCGTCACACCATGTTTGCCCACGTTTACGCATTCCCACTGGGGAAAACATTTCAACTGGAAATTAGGCTTTCATCAGAACTAATCACTCTTCCTTTCCGCGATTTTGCACAATTTAATCCGTGCATGTTGTATCAGAATGTAAAACCTCTTCAGAATGCTAAAATTTATGTGGTTGCTAATGCTGACAAATGCCTATCGTTGTGATATTTTAAGCAGTCTGAGAAATTTTAGTCTGCCTTGTCACAAGTAGCCTCAATTCATTGCAAAGTCACGCACACACAGGAAATATGGGCTGCGAATCAAGGAAGAACAAACAAACAAACAAAGCGAACCAAGATAGTCATATTCTTAGCTAATTAACAAACGGCACTAACAGGACTTTGTGAAAATTGCACCAAAAGAAATTGCTTTGCGTCCCGTTGTAATTGGTTCATCAAAGAAGCGCAAAATCGGTCTTGTCAGAGGCTTGAGGTTTGGTCATTCTCGGGTATCGTCTTTAATTTTGAAGAAAGTCATCCAAGCCTTGGGTTAAGTTCATGTGAACTCAAGCATATTACAGAACGTTATCGGTTTACTAAACACCTCTTGTTTTAAAAGGGATTATTTAGCCTTCGATTTGCGTATCACACTTGTTCTCTTCTCATCGTAGTAGTGCAGCAAAAGTAAACTCCTTCGTTTCACCAAGACAATTCAGCGAACAAGAAGGTGAGAAGTTTTACGCTGTGGAGCCAGCAAATCAGAGCGTTGGTTAGCCAGTCGACCTCAACGTATTTGGGGGTGAATTTTTATGGCGTTTTGAGTAAACTCAACATACTCATAATGAGGCTATGGAGTAGACTATTGCTGCCCAGCTAGGAATCCAAGACTAAACCTAAAACACAATAATCCATCAAGCTTTGCAGCTACTGAATGTGTGATTCTAAAAACATGATGTTGTTTACTAGACTGCGATAAAGTCAAGGCATATCTGTATAATAGTCATTGAGTTTTCGAAGTAGCAAACATTTGGTCTTCGTTACAATCTCGTGATGGAGAACATTTGACCGCCCAGTGACAAAATCACGATACCTTCTGTTGATTATTACTCCACACGCGAAACCACAACTTCATTTATTTGACAAGAGGATGGAAAGGAAAAGGAACTTTGCGCGCTTTTCTATGCCAAATAGCCAATCAACTGCAGCCTCTCATTGATCCTCCCCGACAACCTCGGCCCTGCGCGCATGTGCTGGCACAAATGTTCATTTCCACACACCCAACACAACAACATGCCGAAATGTACCAATATAATTATAACGGATGTTTTGCATTTTGCAAGAAGTACGGTGTTCCTCTTTCACATTAAAAGCATTTTTTCAGTAAACATGAGAAAATGCTGCTTTGTGTTTTCATTAAATGTCAGTGAAACAAGCAAATCAAGAGACGAGGTCATAGATTTAATCAACAAACCCAAAACATACACGCGACTTGACATACATCTGTTAAGTCCAAAATCTCCGCCAACTATATGATAAGGAGATGAACACATTCCACAGCAGAACAGTTGGGTGGATCAGCGACTACATCGTTAACATTATTTAATGCCGTAAATTTTACTAGTACAGTAGTGACCTCCCTGAGGGCAGCCGCATAAAGGGATGTGGTACATACAATTTCATTGCAATCGAATTAAATCCTCCTCTCTGGTTAAGTTTGGTTCGCACAGTGGTTGCACAATTTAGGGCTTTTCCGGAGTATCCCAAATGCAGTGTGTAATCAGCAATGGCAATTAAGTAAGGGGCTGGCTCACTGTGGAAGCATGATTGACGTTAACGTCGTTGTTGGCTAAGAGGAGAGAGACGGCATGAACGTCGTCTTTCTTCGCGGCAACATGCAAAGCTGGCAGACGACCCTTTCCACCCGCGTCGCGCTCTAACAGCAGCGAGACCACCGCATCGTGACAGAGTTGTAGGGCCACCGCTAAAGGCGTGAAGCCATCCTGTGCAAGAGAAATTCAACTCAGTCATACGAGTGTCCTCGTTCCCTTTAGTTATCTGTGTGCCGAGTTTCATTGAATGACGTCCACTCATCTATCGATAGCGACTCCATTTCTGCTATTTGCTATTTACATTGATTCCGTCATTATGACTTCTCTTTTAAGAGCATAAAAGTAAAAACCTTAGTGATGATGAACTAAAAGCTCCGTTTTATGTAAAAGGTGCTTTAAGATTTAATCTTACTGGTTTCATGTATTATGAATAATAAACGTCAATGTAAGGAACTGCTGCATAACGTCCACACTGCAACAAAATCGCAATAAACGCTGACTCCACTTCGTACAGAGGCGCTCATGAGTTATTTTACCAAAAATTACTGATAAAGTCGTCCATAAACGTCTGCCGTCTGCAAGTATACAATTACTCCTCATTCTTTTCCGCTCTAATTTGCCAACAATGAGCAGGTTTTGAGCGCCTCAAGAGAGATAATCAACATGCGAGTACTTGATCTTTTAAGTATTGCTCTTTTTGAATAGGGAAGTTCATGTAATGTTGCGATTCTCTAAACGTCAATCACCTTAAGAGCAGTAGCTCAGCCGTGGGTGTGACCTGTCAACTGCTTACTCTTGATGTAATACACTAAAATAATTGCGAAGTAGGGGCTTGAACGACGCTTGATGAGTGACTCTGACACGAGTGAACATTTGTGGATTGATGAAGTTAGTACGTTGAGAGCCAGTGCAAGCTTTTATCTATACGGTGGTCCAAAGGAGCTATAAGTCAAACGCGGCTAAGCATTCGTATTGCCTACTATTAGCAATCCTCCTCCATGGCATAATGCAACGTAATTTAACTGGTAGACGGCGCAATATAGTAGCAACATCAAGCATAGCTGCATCGAATTTGTTGTCCGTAATTTGGCAAGAACATTACCTAAAGAGTTTTATTTAGCGTTTGTTGGAGAGGATTTCAAAAGTGATGGAGAGTAAAATTCTTACATCAGTCGCTAAGGCCTGATCTGCGCCGTTGTTCAGGAGGTATTCGACTATGTCTACGTGATTTTCTTGAGCAGCCATATACAGCGGTGTAAATCCATTCTGCAAAATACAAAATAAGTTCCCATATAAAAAGTAGTAGGCTTCCTGCCAGATTTACATCTAACTATCACCGATTTGTGGGAAGATCTGATGCAGTAGCAGCGTATCATACACGTCGTTAATAATGTTTCCTGTATATATGCCAAAATGGAGCTGCAAGATGGAGAAATAAACATGATTGCTTCGGTTTTAAAACCACATTTAACCAGAACTCGAATTTATAACGTAAAAAGCCTTTTGGGGAACTGGTTTTAACCATCTAAATCATGCCAAACATGTCACTTTCTATGCATCGATCGAAAAGGGTAGTTGCCTGCACCTTCGTAATATTCAGTGCCACTTCAGGCTCAGGCACCAGCTCTCCCGAGAATCCACTTAAAGTGTACTTTTATCCATGGAATTTTATCGTCAAGCTCTTCATTTTTACATCTATGTGGCCACTAAGCCACTCAACCACCCGCACTGCTTAGCTTCATAGTTCACAGCCAGCAAGTTATGAGCCTTTTACAAAGAGCGAAGGCAGCGAAAAAAATAAACTATGAGCAACATTTGGGAGGGAGTGTAGAGTCGATTTATGCTAGTCAAAATTTGGCTTTTGATTTAAGGGCATTTGAATTTTTCAGATCTATAAGCAATTCAATGTGCATCAGAAACATTCGATCCGGACTTTTTATTTTCAGGACAGCACAATGCAACCAGGAACGTCTGATTCCTTTGTTTCCCAAAAATCACTTACTATACACTGTCAACCGCTAGTGAAGCCCTAACTGAGAATCGTGAAGAGAAAATCAAAATTTGCTAGTCGAAGTGAGCCTCGGGCAAATGCCACTGCCGCTTGGCGCGTGTTTCTAATTGTCTGAATTTGTGGAAAACTGAAGCAATTAAGAGCAGAGAACGTTTCAACCTTCATCAAAAGCTTAAAAGCACTCACTTGTGAGCAGGCTTGTAGCTATTAAATATGAGAAGGGTTTGAGAGTACCTGAAACAAGTGTATTCACTTAGCAAGGTAGCATCAGCTACTTCTCAAGGGAACACTTAAAAGGTGCTGCTTTGAATTGAGGCAAGAATTTCAACGACGATGAAGGTAACTTAACCACAACTGCCAAAAAGGAAACGTTAACGAAAGTAAAATGACCTGAGACTTGGCATTGACATCGGCACCTCGTTCGACGAGAAGCCGAATAACTTCGCTTCGTCCTGCAAGGCTAGCGATGTGGAGGGCGGTGTTCCCCCGATTCGTCTTGGCATCAATTATTGCATGATGGTCCAATAACAAACGGACAATTGGCAAGTGGCCCTCCTTTGAGGCCAGGTGTAGTGCGTTCAGTCCATTCTAAAATAGTCAGTTTTAGTGAGTAAACCTATCATGCATTACTTCTGTCACAATCTATTGTAAACAAAACCAGCTGCTTTCGCATTTTCTCCATTCCTTTTTTGGTAAACTTAAAGATTTTTGAGGGTCGCAAGCACGCGCTGGATTAATTAAATGAATTTATGCCATATTCTATTGCATGGAAGTGAATACCTCGGCTCATCATCAAAACCGTACCTTTACAAACTTTCCATGTAGACTCACAGTACTGCTACTTTAACTTCCCAATTTACTCCTAAAGACTGGTTCCAGACTCCAAGCATTACATTTCAAGTTCGTCCAAGGCAAGATTTTGCTACGCGAACAACATCATGAGAAAGGACTATAGCTATCTACCCTATCAATCAGAAAAAGTTGCGACTTGTAAAGGTGGGTTCACAATTCTTTCGTCTTTATGACATTTCGGGGTATATTGCTGAGACATGACGATCAGATGCTTGGAAAGCGATTCAATCGAGCAATGTGCATTGCCTTCCCACTGAGAGCGTATGTGCTCTTAGCCTTAAAATGTTCGAACAGCCTTGGCGAAATTTGAGTATCGGCCAGACACAAACGCTATGACAATAACCCAAACTATGCTATGTTGTAGTCGTAATTGTAATAATTCACAAAATGGGGGGCTTGAAAAACCTTTTACCTAACCCAAAAAAATGGGTTAAGTTGGGCTGAAGAAGATTCGATCCATATTCTCTCAGCAAAGTTAAAAGAGGATGTTAATCCATGCAATTTTTTTCCCAACGAAAGCCGCATAACTTTCATCCGTGTTTTAATATGAAACAATTGAAACTGTCTACTTTGTTGGTGACTTTTCAAGTCAAAACAATTTTTACTTCCAATCAAAATGCAGTACGGTTCCTCTCATATTCTTCGCCTCAGTAACAAAGTTCCCGCCACGATGACGTTGCAGTGCCTCCCATGGGAAAATACCCTAACGATGTATCGCACACAAGCGTGATTCCTTGATGAAGTGTGAGAGCATAAAAGTTATTAAAACACAAACAGGGAAAGCCATGGTGGAGCAGGTGTAAATATTTGTCCAAGTAAGGGCTAGCAGAAAACTATCCTTCTTTACCAAAACATGCACAGCTCTAATTTACACACCTGAGTTTCCGTCTCTTGCTCAGAACGTTTTTTTCCTGCAGTTGAAAAAATAAACGTTAAAAGCAATTTTCGACTTTTCATTACGCAACAAATGGTGACGGAAGTTCTGTCCAAGTCAAGTTGCCACCATAAGCTCCAACCTCTTTTTTTAAACCTTGGACATGGAAGTGGAGTTGTGCGTTACCACTTTTTTTAAATAATGCAGCGAGTTTATTTATTTGGCAAAAAATAGCTAGCACAAGTAAGTCTCCGAGTGCCATTTTTTTATTATGCAAATTTCCGCGCTGCTATGTCAAGCCTTTGGGCTTTCTCACATAGTCGCCTCCGCCCTTGGGCGAGAGCTGGTGTTGCGCTGCCCCACTGCCGCAGAGGGAGGAGGGAGGGGGCAACTGGACGCTGCTGCTGCCGCTGACTCATCGCGCTGAGCCAGGCAACGCGTAGGCATTGGGCGTAGGCCCAATGCCAACTTTTAAAGCCAAATGAAAAGAATATGGTAAATGCAAATAAACCGTTGTCTACCCGTTAACCTTGTGCAAACGCTCATGTGTTGGTCCTATCTAGTGGAGGGGTCCTGCTATCCAACAAGTCAAGTGGATTAGCACTTGCAAGTGCACCAGTTTTTTTCCTAATAAATCGGGCTCAATTTGCTGCCAAAGCCAATTGTGTGAGCACTTAATGGCGAAAGCGAAAGATCATACCTCATACCAATGCGTTGGAAAATATCTTTCCACTAAACATAACTAACGGAAAAGTACAATATTTTTTGTGCCGAGCTGTTTAAATTCCCTAAATTACCAAGGCCAGCAAATAATTTTGGTTGACACTAAGCTGTTAAGTTTGGCATCACCAAACGTGTTAAATTATTTAGTTATAAGAATCAAAGACGAACGGCATTCAACTGCTCTGGCCATAATTAGAATTGTCTTGATGAGCCACCCCTCTTGATGAACTAAGGACATTTTAGAAGAAAAGATGCTGCAACCAGAGTTTCCGATGGTGAGTTTAGAGATGAAATAAAAGAAATTAAATTACACCAATTAGTTTTATGCAAGTCGCCACCAGCATAGGCTGCGAAATTCTCCTTCCACTTTCTGGGGATCAAAACAGCTTTTAAGAAACGTGTAATTTTTATTCTTAAACAAATTAAGAAAAATGTGAATGTTGAACTATATGATTAAGACAGAAATAGTACTTTTGCCATCAACAGCGTCTACAAAGATGGGAATGGAATTTGTTTCGAGACTTTCGCATACAATAATCAGACCATGGTTTCAATAACCCTCTATATTCTTGTCATGTCACTAACTGAAACGCTTTCACAACTTATGCTGCAGCATACTAGTGCATCAGCAACTCCTCGTAAAATGGCTCACACAATCATCTTTTAAACTCACAAGTGCCCATTTTGGCACCAACTCAAGAATGCACAGTGTCGAAAACTCCAAGCAGTTATCGCTAGAGTAAACTATACGAAAGGCAAAATTTTAATCTGTAAAACCAACCACTGTTGAGAACTACACCCAACACATTAGCTCCAAAGTTATAGACGAATTGCCTTGAGTTCGCGATCGACTGCGCTCCTTCTTCCAGGCATAACAGGTAATACAACAATTTTTGTTACTAAAGTATCAGGGCACTCACCGAACTGACGGCATTGATATCAACATTTGAATTGAGGTACTCGGCTATCTTCCCAATATTTCCTGATCGGGCTGCACGTAAGAAGCTTTGCTTAGTTTCAGCCTGTTTCCGGGTCCGACGTCGACCAAGTTGCATTTGGAGAGGAAAATTCCGCGTACGAAGGGGTACATCGGTTTCGCGCACCGTAGCAATGGCAGCGGAGTTCGAAGGAACATCGTTTGAGTTGATAGCATCCGTGTTGCGTGAGTAAATGGGAGGAAGGGTAAAACATCGACGGTTAGAGTTTCGCTGAATGCGTTCCAATAAGTCTTCCCGTTCCCACTGACGAATGCTTTTTCTTATGGGAAAGCAGGCGGTGAAGGAAGCACTTCTTCGTGGCTTTCGCCTCACCGTCTGACTGCCTCGGCATAAGGGAGGCGCGGATCCCTTCTTAGACATCATTGTAATGTAATTTTTATTAAAATTGTCTGTTAACTAATCACTTTCTATTAGTGCATACAAGCCTGTACGTGTGTAGTTGCTTGAGCCGAATGAGGTACTGAGTGCCAATCGGTGGTAGCAAGAAGCTCGAAATTTCCAGATTTTACAAGAGCGAAGGCACACACCGTTAAAGTTCAAGGGAGCCAATAAGAATGAGAGAGGTGTCTTATTCGACAATACACACACAAGAGTTCTATACGTCTTGATGCGAGTGTAAGCAGGTGTGATGCAAAGTGTGAAGCAAATCAAGGAGGCTCACAATCAAAGGTGTGGCTCACCACTACACTCCTCCATAGAAGCCCATTCGTGTATTCGGCTTTGTTTAGCTGTGGCTGGGACCGAAGCTCTTATACGGAGAATGATTTGCCAACAATATGGGATGTGCTTGGAGTTCCAGCGTATGAACCAGGGAACTCGCTCTACCATTTACAGGCACAAACACTTCTTTCCCCACCAGAGGAGTGCAGGGACATATCATTTTTGTGCAGTATAAGTTTAGATAACTATCTCGAACAAGTTATACGGTACTTCGAACAAATTTCTAGTCCTATTGAAGATACTTTTTTCACAATAAAAGACAACGGGTATGTGCTGTTTGTGGTAAAATCTACTCATCCAGACTACTGACGAATGACCTCATTAAATCCTGTTTAAAATGTCGCATACACATCGACAACTTGACCTTGGGCATCACCTCCGCAGCTCCATGCCCCACCACTAGTGTAAATTTGACTGGCGTATGATCATTGTGAAAGGCTAATGACTTGCACCTTGCTGCAACATTAAAGCTAATCAAGGCGGAGTGCCAGTAACTCTCCGTTGCCAAAAAATAAATGCCTGAGGTCCAGTTAAAATCGATAGCCAAAAAACTACTAAAGCCCAAATCTTGGAAAAAAACAGGAAAATGCGAATAACTTTAAGCATAACATCTCTAGAAAATGTGAAAGCTGAAAGTACATCTACCATTGTTCATAATTTACACTAAAAAAGCCTCGATCTGATCGTAAATCATGTGTTAGAGTAGTAGAAAAGCACGGAACTCAAAGGCAAAAAGAGAGTTTGAATTGCTCACATGAGATCCGTTAGTGTTTGAAGCCTCCACCATATTCCTTCTATGCATTAATGGTAACTCTAGAATGTAATGCCAAGCACCTGGCCGCGTTAACACAGACAAGAAAGTCGAACGTGATGAGGAAGGGAACTCAGAAATGCCTGCCCGATTGAACGTGAGCTTGAACGTTGGATAAAGCGGCCACAGAGACCGCTTGTACACACCTGTCGGTGCGACGAGGCTGTTCGGACTGTACAACGATCTGGGCGCGCACGTACACAGGAAATGCCTTCGCGCGCAACAACTACGACAAGCAATGGGTGAAGAGAGTGAGGGGGATGCAGAGGAGGCAGGATGTGGCATCACTACTGCCGCTGATGCGTAATCGTCGAGCCGATCAATACGGAGCTGCGCGAACGTCACGCACGCCTGCCCTGGAAAAGGCATGGGCCCACACCCACGCACGCACGTTAGCGCGCATCCGTGTGTCCGTCCCACGTTTTAGTATTATAAACGCCTTCACGTCAAACTGGCCATGATAAGGCTTTGGCTTGAGCCAATCCGTTGACTCACTTACGTACTACAATGGTGACTGCTTAACCAACGTGTGCTCGACGGCTGTACCAAGTGCTCCGGTAAATGATAAAGCAAGGAAGTGAAACTAATTTGATAAAAAAATGCTAGCCTCTTATCGGTAACATTAAGGCTATCGACCGCACTTACTTAAATCGGGTACAAATAATTCGCCTTACAAACGACTTGTTCGACCTTAAAGTAGGTGATTTTCGCAGGATTGTTTATGCCATGGTCGAAGGGAGGGTCATTTAAAAAGCATTTGATGTAGGTGTGGTGGTCGAAAAGAGCATTCGTGAAAGCGCAACACCGGACTTCTAAACTCCACCTAATTACCGAGGTAAATAGAGCGGCAGGCTGAAACCGAATAAACACCTGTGTGCCGGCTACTGTGGATGCTTAAAAAACTTTAAACCTGACCGATCAGCTATAAAATATTGACACACTCAAATCCAGTCGCGCAATTCGCACCGGTCATACTTGCATTTATTTCATTTGGAAACACTAAGTAGTAACTTAATGACTGCCCTTATTTTACTGAACCCTCACCAATGATCTTTACTTCGCCACTTTGAGGGAAGATTTCAAAGTGGTGCGATCCCGCCTTGGCTGAGCCAGCGTTTCATGAAAGTAGAGCTCCTTAAATGCAGAGTTGTTGAAACTTCTCAGCTAAGATGACGAAAAGGAATGCCAAACTTACTCACTTCGAAGGAAGTTGATATCCTCGAATGCACACTTTACCACTTACGTAAATGAACACTGACAAGGGTAAAACTCAAAAATAATGTAAACGCTAAACCTCGCCAATGTAAACGCTATTAGCGTTTGGTACTAATATTAGAATATTACGCCCTCATTCCACTTTGTTAACTTGATTATAACAAATATAGCTTCATAACAGGCACGGATATTAATATTCTTATTATTCTAACAGTTGTCAGTTCAAATGTCGGAAAATACTTTGCTGTTGTATGCGAGATGCATGACACCATTTCATTTCTGCCCCTGATTAAATGTGACTCGTTTCCCATACTCACAGTGAAGCAACCATCGGTTTTCAAGGTACAGAAGGGAAAAAGGAATAGCTGAAGACTAACTCAGCTTATGAAACGAGGCCCCAGGACAGACAGAATCAGGTGCTGCACTTACGCATTCCATATGCGGCCTCCTCAAGCCCCACTTTGGCGGGTTTTTGACTTAGATGATGGAGCCTTAAGCACCATTGATGGAAAGAAGCTAAGCCAAATGAGATTCCTGTAAATTTATTGTAAGTGAGGCGTGTGACTAGCCTCAGGAAACCTTCGTTCCCACGAATCGCATGTTTAAGTGGGAAAAGAGCAGTCAAGTTCATTACTGGTGTCGTTCACTTTTACGTTAACAGGGTGAGAAATTTTCGCATTTGTCCCTCAAACTCATCTACGGTGTCGTTCATCTGCCGAACGTATCTAGATCGACGTGTGAAATCTTTCGATTGCAATAAAAGCCGTCGAAAAGGTGCTAATTTCGGTTTCAATGCCGGCCAAATAAACAAAGTGATTGCATCGGTTGAATTAACTCTTTTCTGGACAGACTGCCAAAGGGGCATCACGTTGCGCATAAGTTGAGATAATGACAATTCTCAAACTACTCTCATCCAAATCCCATGCAGATCCTTGCAAACGACAGGCACAAAGTCATCAGGATTCGAATTTGTGGATCTTTTTGAGACGTCAGCTGTAAAGGTTTAATTGATTGTCCCTAATAGGGGAATGACTGAGGTTTTTTGTAGAGGCTGTGTAACCAACGTTTGCGAATTTCATAACGCTCTAAAAAACCTTTTCCAGTAATGGCAGCCATGGTAAAAACCATTTTGCTGTAAAAAAGAATCAATCGCGAAGTAGTCAAGCCGCTGCCTAATGTTAATTTATAAGTAGCTTTGAAGCCTAAAAGACATTTGCAAATTTGACATATTTACCCTAAATATGCACCAATATAAACGTCATCAGAGATTGGGACGCCACCACGAATGTGGCAAGCAAGATGGACTCCCAACATCCCTAGTTTGTCCCAAAGATCCTTGCGCCTGATTTTTCGACTCCGAATGGGATCAAAAATTCCAAAAATTTGTTTCACAGATGGAGAAACGAGGCATGTTTACTCATAATGACCTAGTAGTGTGTGTGGACCTTGTCAGCTGAGCAGTCTTGTTGCTTTATTTATTTCAAATGGGCTCTTTGACCAATCGAGCGTAACTCAAATTTGTTAAGCAGTCGTGCACATGTTCGTATAAGAAGTAGTTCAATGGGTTGTGTTGAAATTTCTTTTTACTGTGCTAGCATAGCTGATTGAGGAGGTGCAAGTCTCTTGCGCACGTTATGGCAAGTTTTCACAAGGATTTGCAAGAGTTTCGTGATTTATTCTAATGCAAGAGTGACCGTACAAACTGTGAAAGAAACAGACAGAAGTAACTTGATTTCTGGCTGTGTGAAGAAGGAAACTGACACTCGAGAAAGCCTCAGTCTGGTGACATTTTTATGCTTAGTGGCACTGCTAACTTCAAAAATGTTTTTTAACAAAGTTAGTTAGCAGAAACACGTTCCCATTGACTTTAAACGCTGGAAGGTTAACTACGTGGGTAGAGAAAGTTAAAACATTACTGGATTTTCCGGCGCCAGTGGATGTTGTCATATCAACTCAAAATAGAATTGCTACTTTTTTCGACAGACAAGAGGAACGTCCTCATTCGCAAAAAATAAAATAGATTGCAGGCATATGCATAGTAAGTTAACAAGTCTGTTTATACCAATCATGAACAAAATCATGCGAACATTTTCATTAACGACTAATTAGATAAACAACACAATTTAAACACTTGCATATGATAATAAGTAAAAAGGATCCGCTTCAAGCTTTAAAACTGCCGCTATCATAAACAATTTGCATAACTTTACTGGATAAATTATTCACCACCCCTGATTAATGCTCACAGTTTGTTGTTTGCGCAAATGAAAAGGGTGTTGAGATGGCAGATTGGAACATCACAACTGGTCCCCTCCACCCATTTGAGCGATTTGTCAAAGAACCACATTCGATCGCTGTAATCGTCCACCGAGTGTGCATGTTTATGTTCACTCCTAATCGCCTGATTAAACGAGCGCGTTGTTAACTGTGACGAGGGACAAACATCCCTCAAAGGATCTTAAAATAGTCTCAATAGGCATTATCAACTCCATGCCAAGTAATAAAGTTCCTTTCAATAAGTCGTTCAGATTTTTAAACAAAGCAAGTAAATGATGAATTCCGTTCTTCTTCTTTTATCTATAGGAGTCCAATGCAATTTCCCTTACCCTTAAACCCA